GGAAGGTAAGAAGTGTATAGTAGTTGTAAGTAGCGTTACCAAGGTGTTTCTTAGTGTTAGGTTTAGTTTGGTGTTGTAGTTTGAGTTAGTAATTAGGCTTTAGTTGTTACTTAGACAGCTTAGAGTTCTTTAGGAGTGTAGATTATTATTATAATTAAGGTATTTGTTAGTTAGTGCATGATTAGTGCTTGTGGTGGATAGGTTTGCATGATTAACACCCTAACAAGCAGGGTTCTCCATGAGCTGTTTTACTGTGTTGGTCCCGACACAGAAAAATGTTCTCCGACACAGTAATTATTCAAATTTTATCTGTGTGAACAGGAAAAATTTTGCCAACACAGTAAGATCTGTGATTAGAAGAAAATCGAAACATACAAATTCTCTGTATCTGAAACATTATTAATCAAACAATTCTACCGTCTTTCAATTCTAAAAGATATCTGGAGCACTTAATTACGGTTTCACCTTGCGTAATCAATTATTTCCTACACCCTTGCCAGTCTTTACGCATGAAAGAACAAAGGCAAATAATTGGTTTCCATACTTCCATGTAACAGTTAATTGGTACTAGTAGTTGCAATTAAAGTACATTGTATTATTTTTAGAAATATATTTAAATGTCTTTTCTATAGAGCAATGGCTCTAGAATTACTGTAGATCACTAAATTTTCGCGACACCTTATTTTGCGAGATAGTCATTGACTCTTGATAAGCGAGACAAAATTTCACGAATTGTGGTCATTGCTCTATATAATTTTAAGGAATACTATTATACGCGAGAATTAAATTTTGGCTAGCACACTATCTTGCGTAATTACACGAAAAATAAAGTTCACACAAATAAAAAGTGATTTACAGTGTGTTAGCAATGTAAAATCAAACATAACACTGTACCGAAATCATTTACTTGATGTAAATAAATAGTCTTAAATTTTCAAGGAACTTTTAAAAGTATTTTACTATTCCGAAGTTTCTTTTTTTTTGTAATTCCTTAATTTGATCAAGAAAATTGACAAAAAAACAAATTTGCTTTAAAAAATTGTAAGTAATTTAACTTTATCGACAAGAATTTCCTCTGCATTTCACAATATGTGCTAATATGTTCGACCATACTATTTTTGTAACAAATCAGCAATTTTTTTTTTAAAAAGTGTGTGCATGTATTCTTAAGTTATTGTAATGAATAGTGATTCAGTTGCAAATTTGATCGCTAAAATACACTGAAATTTGAGTGCTTTGCATAAACTCTGCAACACAGTAAAATTTCAAATGATGGAGAACCCTGCACAAGTAACAAGCTACTAAAACTACTAACGTCTGCTAAATGTTGTGTGATGCGTCTAGTGTGTTGGTGTTAGTGTGTATGTGCTTGTCACCTCTCGCTTTCATCCATCACCGCTGGCTAGCAGCAATGTGAAAAGGGAAGGAATTTTTATGTCTTCCCCTGCCAGAACATAGCCTCTCCACAACAAGTCCTATGCGATGCCTCCACGTGGAAGCAGACGGATACTGGGTACCATTTGGTCCCAGGCTAAGTTCGCAAGGGCGCACGGGAAGATGAGTCTCAATAGCATTGGTAAACATCTTATTTAGGAAAGAAAACTGATCACAACCCCTATTTAGTAGAAGAATCAATTGATATAAGTGCTGGTTTTTAAAAGAAGTGAACCTTTGTTCATTTTATGTCTTTGTCATCTTTTTTTTTGACATAATGTATAAAAAGTAATATTTGTCAGGTCCAACTTTTGGTTAACCCAAATGTCAAATATAAACTGCAAAACTTTCTCAAATTTTATTCAGTTCTTGAAATTTGGACACAATATTCAGTATGGATAAAAAATATCAAGTATGATTTTGAAAAAAAAAATTCAAACATTTTTTCCTTAAGTTGGACTTAGTTATGATAATTTATGGTGAAACCTATATTCCAGCAACTATAAGTTATAGGGATATGATAATTAGTCAGTGGATACATCATGGGTAACCACAAACGTCAGTACCAGAATTAGGTCATCTTGACCTACACTGACAGAGGACTTTGGTTAAAAGGTCCATATCTCAGCATCTATAACTTATAATGGCATGATGATTTGTCAGAGAGTGTACAGGTTATAAGTAACCAACAACACAACCCCTATTAGGTCATTTTGACCTAATTTTTCTGCATGAATATATAAGGTTCATATTTCAGCAATATAAAATTGGCATGAAATACATTGGGTAACCACAAAGCCTGTACCGCGCGCATCCGTGACTTTGCATAAATTTATGGTGGCCGCATAAGCAATTTTATAGTGGCATGATAATTTTTGATAAAATAAAAAGTTAGGTATTGACCAGGTCATCTTGACCTAATTTTTCCGCATGAGTGAAAAAAATTTATGGTGGAGGTCCATATCTTGCAACTATAACTTATAGTGGCATGATAATTTGTCAGTCTACACATCATTAACCAACAATATCAGTACATTTAGGTAATCTTCACCTACATTTTCTGCATGAATTTTGATACATATACATGGATTTGATTTCAAAATGCAAGTTCAAATTATTGCGACTCATAACACGTTGCAATACATAATAAAAACATCACAATAATTTGTGAATTTACAGGGTATATGTATATATATATAAATGCCAATAGCCAAGGGATTAGATATTAAGTCAGCTTGTCAATAATATGAAATATGGAAATTTTAAACTGTACAGAAGATATTTAAAAATGCATTGGATCCTTTCTTGTGAATAATATGAAATATGGAAATTTTAAACTTAAAATATTTAACCTACAAGCATTTGGACCTACCCTTTTCTGTTTACCTTGGCAATTGCATTACACAACTCCAGATATTAATCAAGTAAATATAACTTCAACATTTTAAAACTTTCTTGACATGTTACAATGTATGTAATTCATTAAAATCATTTCAGCATCTTTTCATTTAAGAGGAAAATGTTGTGTTCATCAGATGCAAAAGTTATATATTAAATCCATATAAAATATAATTTTTGATGACAATATCTCTTTAAAAACCAGCAAAATGGTTTTTAAATTCCTTCTGAAATGTGAAATGCTTCAGTTTATCAGACAATCATTTCTTACTAACCACAGCGACAGCAGGCGAGACACAGGGTTGCGGGCAACCCTTACGTACTTTTTGTAAAATTTCACATTTTCATCTTCGTCAAAATTCAATGAAACTTGGCAAAGAGTATCCTTGGATAAATGCCATTATGGAATTTAAGTTTATTCAAATGAAGGCCCACTCCCTCTTCAAACGGAAGATTACTACAAATAAGTGAAAAATTAAGGACATCTTCTTTTCAAGAACCACTGAGACAGGAGAGACACTTATGTGGCATCATCCTCAGGTAGTGTAGATTCACAGTCAAATCAAGACCCCATGTTGGGGTTAGAATAGGGGATCAAAAATATATATTATACTGTAGATTCCTTATTTTTCGCATGTAATTATTATCGCGAATAGGCTTTTCTACGAAAGCCCAGAAGGCTCATTCGAGATTCAAGTTCGAAATACGAGATTCAAAATTCGAGATTCGAAATTCGAGTTTCGAGATTCAAGATCCAGATTAACCAATCAAAAGGCTCATTCGAGATTCGAGGTTCGAAATACGAGATTCGAAATTCGAGTTTCGAGATTCAAAATCCAGATTAACCAATCAAATGCGGGTTCAACATTTGATTACTCCCCTTTATTATGTTTTATCTATCAATAAATCGTTTAATATATTTATAACAAATGAGTCATTTGATTAAATTACAATGCAAGAAAGAGTGTTATATATATTAGAAGGAAAGTTAAATAATCATTGGATTTTTTATCAGCAAGGTATACTTCAATTTATATTATGACTTCTTAAATATTAAATAGAATACATATATCAGAAATATATATATTTTTGCATTGTCTACTTTATATAAAGGGTTGTTGACATAATAATAAATTTATAAATAGTGACTAAAGATTAACAAAATCCCCACCCCTACCCGCCTGACACCTGCCAATTTTTCCCGACACTGAAATGTTACTTTAAAAACTTGAATTTCGAATCTCGTATTTCGAACCTCGAATCTCGAATGAGCCTTTTGATTGGTTAATCTGGATCTTGAATCTCGAAACTCGAATTTCGAATCTCGAATTTTGAATCTCGTATTTCGAAACTTGAATCTCGAATGAGCCTTCTGGGCTTTCGTAGAAAAGCCTATTCGCGATAATAATTACACACGAAAAATAGGGAATCTACAGTATAATATATATTTTTGATCCCCTTTTGATTCTGGGCCCCGTACTTTTCACTCTCAAATCACGAGAATAATAATTCGAATGGATGGTTGGTTAAAAGATTTTACATAGATTTCAGCTCCATAAAAATAAAGGCGAGTAATTTAATTTTGTGTTTGATGCCCCTCGCGAAATTACGTGATAATTACTTCCACGCATATATTTAGGAATCTACAGTATTTATACATAATTTTTTTTCTCAAGCCACAATTAGTCATATTGATATCAAATCATCCTTTTTGGTAGTGAAGATTTCATTTTGTTCAAATCATGTCTACCGGGGAAAGGTTTGGGCCACAATGGACAATCAAAGTTTTACATTGGATTATATTGGAAATATCTTTAGAAATCTCAGAAACAAAAATGTCATGACTGGTGATATGTATACGCTAGCATCTTCATGTAGTGGAGATTTAAGTTTGTTCAAATCATGACTCCCATTTGTAGGGCAGAGCCCCAATGGTGGATCAAAATGGACAGGGGAATATATAGGAAATGTCCTCTCAATAATACCAAAGCCATATATAGTCATATTGATATGGGAGCATCCTTAGGCAGTGTAGATTCACATTTGTCCAAATCTTGATTCCAGGGGACAGGGAGGGGCATCAATGGGGATAAAATTTTAACAAAGGAATATATAGAAAAAAAGTCTTATGTTCAAGAACAGCTAGGCCATTGTTATTGATATGAAAATGTCTCAAGGTAGTTATTCTAAAATTTATACTTTTCAATACTGGACTAATTTGTGCATTTACTAGCCAATATGCTTAGGTGAACATATCGCCCATTGGCCACTTGTTTATTTTAGAAATCTTCTCACTTGGTATGAAGTGCCAATGATCCCCTTTTGGTGTCTGTTTTTATCTTTTTAAGCAGAATAATGTTAGGGTTGAACAGGATCCTGAAGTGAGGAAGACTCCCTCTCCCATTGAACTGCAGACATCAGCAGAAAGCAGAGTAAGATTCAGACTAGACTTCTTGTATCTTTGCTTGCCAATTGATGTTGGCTGTACCAAGCTTTAACCTCTGGACTTTCGACAGATTTCAGTTCCTCTATAATTCAGAAGAGGAACAACAATGGAGGACCAAGGTCATTAATATAAGAAGAGTCTATTCCTGTCTGTGTTTTGAAGGCATTGTGTTTCAAAAGTGGTAAGCAACAAGCTGCTTTTTACTGAAGCTTCTCACTTGATATGAAGTGAAAGTGTTTCCCCTTTTATGTCTCTGTTTTATCTTTTTAAGCAGAAGAAAGTTAAGACTGACTAGGAATTCTAAGTGAGGAAGAGTCCCTCTCCCGTTCCGCTGCAGCCATGAGCAGAATATTTATACTTCTTTTTTTATCTATGGAACTTCATCAGGACCCACTTTAACAAGCAGGAGTCTTACAAGTATTTTTGTTTAATTATTTCTGACGTATTTTTGTCCTCCCTTCTCTAAAGTAACTATGCATTCCTCTCCTTGCCCCAATAATCCACCTTATTCCTATCATAACCTTATTGTCTTAATTTGCTCTTTGATTTTCCAGCTAATATTGTAATGATTATGATCATTTGAGTTTCTTTGATTATTACATTGCTTTGAATTATTGCTTATCTTCTCTCCATCAAGTATTTTAAAGGGATTTGACAAGGGAAGAAGGAAAAAGACCACTGCTGACCAAGAGAAGAAGAAGAGTCCATTGCCAAGCTTTGTCCAGCAGCCAATATCTGATAATGGAGTGAGTAAAAAGCTCTTTTTTTTGCAATTTTCAAATTTTCTTTATACACTTATTCAAATCATAGGTTCAGGGTGATTTACTTCTGCAGCACAACAGCAACCATGTTGCAATCTAAAGCATCCTGAGGATGTCTTGATTCAAATTAGGTTACATCATGATCCCTTTGGACTAGGATTAGTAAAAATAGGAATTAAGATTTTTTTTTCTTCTGATGACAAGGTCAAGATGATTCAGGTGAACATTTTGGCACAAGGTCTCCTTCATTATTTTCAATGATCTTTAGATTTTTCTTTGTTAACAGGCAGAAGATGAGACTAACCTCAACTTGTTAACAAGACTGGAGATGATGGACTAACTACTGTCTAACCTGAAATCTTTGGTAAGTCAGTTGTATGTCAAGCTCGAGACCTTGTGTTATGTGAATTAAATGAGATTATGACACTCACATTTCTTGAATTTCTAGTTTCTTTTTTTGTTAATAGGTAGGGGTTTATGCTGGCATTGATCCTGTTTCCAAAAGCAGCTCGCCGTGTTTCTGTGAGAGTCCAAAGAGATCAGCTAGAACCTGAAAATAAAGGTAAGATACAAGCTCTGCAAACTCCTTCTAATCTGTGAAAATATGTTAGCCTTTTTTCATTTATTAAGATTTTATTAATATTTTTTTGATCCCTCATGATTTGTTATCTTTACAGACAGACTGCCATCAATTTTGTTTCTTTGACAGCAGGCAAATATGATTCAACAATAGTGCAGAGATTAAGGTTTGGGCTGTAAGTGATGGACACACTAAAGAGCTTAACTCACGGAATTCAATGGACTGTGCTGAGTACATTGTTATCAGAAAGTGATGGACACACTAAACAGCTCACCTCACAGAATTCAATGAACTGTGCTGAGTACATTGTTATCAGAAAGTGATGGACAGTTGGACACACTAAATATCTTAACTTGTAGGATTCAGTGCACTTTGCTGAGTAACTCTTATCAACACAGTGATGGACACACTAAACACCTTAACTCACAGAATTTAATGGATATTGCTTTAATACGTTATTATTATAAAATGATGGACACAGTAAATAGCTTGACTCCAGAAGACGGTGCTGAGTACATAACTCATAAAGGATAACTCCTGACATATTCACAGCAGATCACTCAAAGTTAACTCTGTTAAATTTGTAATAAGGCATTTGGAGAAAGCTCAGAGTGCTACTACATTATTGTACATCTTTTCATATACTAAGTTATTTTTTCTGAATGTTTTTGTATCTGTATATTATATTTTCAAATAAAAAAATTTCTTAAAGACTGGATTTTAAAGCAAAAATATCAAGAGAGGTAAATCAGAGATTGTCGGAATATCTAAGCTTACGAGAAAGGGAGGTAATTTTCAGCTCACCTGAGCCGAAGGCTCAAGTGAGCTTTTCTGATCACATTTTGTCCGTCGTCTGTCCGTCCGTCTAGCTGTCCGTCTGTAAACTTTTCACATTTTTGACTTCTTCTCAAGATCCACTGGGCCAATTTTGACCAAACTTGGTACAAAGCATCCTTGGGTTAAGGGAAACATAAATTGTTAAAATGAAGGGCCATGTCCCATCAAAAGGGGAGATAATCAAGAAAAGATAAAAATAGGGTTGGGTCATTAAAAAATCTTCTTCTCAAGAACCACTGGGCCACTAAAGCTGAAATTTATGTGGAAGCATCCTGGGGTAGTGTAGATTCTAAATTGTTCTAATCATGAGCCCAGGGGGTAGGGCGGGGCCACAATGGGGAATCAAAGTTTTACATAGAAATATATAGGAAAAATCTTCTTCTCAAGAACCACTGGGCCAGAAAAGTTGAAACTTATGTGGAAGCATCCTAGGGTAGTGTAGATTCTAAATTGTTCAAATCATGACCCCCCCGGGGTAGTGCGGGGCCACAATGGGGAATCAAAGTTTTACATAGAAATATATAGGAAAAATCTTTAAAAAATCTTCTTCTCAAGAACCACTGGGTCAGTAAAGCTGAAACTTATGTGGAAGCATACTGGGGTAGTGTAGATTCTAAATTGTTCAAATCATGACCCCCGGGGGTTGGGCGGGGCCACAATGGGAATCAAAGTTTTACATAGAAATATATAGGAAAAATCTTCGAAAACTTCTTCTCAAGAACCACTGGGTCAGAAAAGCTGAAACTTATGTGGAAGCATCCTGGGGTAGTGTAGATTCTAAATTGTTCAAATCATGACCCCCGGGGGTTGGGCGGTGCCACAATGGGGAATCAAAGTTCTACATAGAAATATATAGGAAAATTCTTTGAAAATCTTCTCAAGAACCACTGGGTCAGATAAGCTGAAACTTATGTGGAAACATCCTGGGGTAGTGTAGATTCTAAATTGTTCTAATCATGACCCCCTGGGGTAGGGCGGGGTCACAATGGGGAATCAAAGTTTTACATAGAAATATATAGGAAAAATCTTCTTCTCAAGAACCCTGGGCCAGAAATTAGCTGAAACTTATGTGGAAGCATCCTGGGGTAGTGTAGATTCTAAATTGTTCTAATCATGACCCCCCCCCCCCCCCCGGGGGTAGGGTTGGGCCACAATTGCCCATCAATGTTTTACATAGGAGTATATAGGAAAAAAATCTTTGAAAATCTTCTTCTCAAGAACCACTGGGCCAGAAAAGCTTAAACTTATGTGGAAGCATACTGGGGTAGTGTAGATTTCAAATTGTTTAAATTATGATCCGTGGGGTAGGGTGGGGTCACAATATGTATTACAAGGGGGAAATCTGGTAAAGAGCTTCTCAGGTGAGCGATGTGGCCCATGGGCCTCTTGTTAGCTCTACTGGTCAGAGACCAGAAGAGCTTATGCGATAGTAATGCGTCCGGCGTCTAGCTGTCTGTCTGTCTATAAACAATTTTTCAAAATGCTACTCCTCCTACAGTTTTGGTCTGATTTCAATACACTAGACTATACTAAGATATATAATTCTGTGTATCGGTTTTTGATTTCGATGAACGGTGTTGCCGTGGTAACTAAAAATAGAAATTTCTGTGAAATTCTTTCAAAATGCTACTCCTCCTACACATTTGGTCTGATTTCAATATATTTCCATTTCTAATTTTTTTCTCTGTGATAACTGTTTGAAAGTTGTGGGAGTTTATTTCTTGATAATTCTGCCGGAATGTAAATTAGACAGGTCGATAGGTCAGCAGCTTAGGAGGCCTAATACGCATGCAAATCTCGTGCGCATCTGTCTCTGTGTCTGACGCTAAGGAGGCCAAATATGCAGGTACCTGGTAAATCTCGTGCGGCTGCCTTTGTGTTTGACGTCAGTGTGCAGGACTTTTGAAATTGGCATGGAAGTCCTCGTGTAATTTAAATCTAATAGTCTACATTTTTAATGTCTAAGTCTACAATTTTATTTCACTATGAAATGGAAATATAAGGAATCACTGTCTAGTTAGGAGATTATGCCAGGGACATCAACAATAGTGGGAAACATGGGATAATTTTAGCATAACGGGCGAATCCCATGTTTCCCACTATTGTTGATGCCCAGGCATACTCTCCAAACTAGACAGTGATTTCTTAAATAACTTGGCACACAATTAGACGACACTAAAATACATAATTCTGTATATCGGTTTTTGATTTCGATGAACATTGTTGCCGTGGTTACTAAAAATAGAAATTTCGGTGAAATTCTTTCAAAATGTTACTCCTCCTACAGATTTAGTCTGATTTCAATATAACTTGCCTCACAAGTAGACTACACTACGATACACAATTCTTTATATCGGTTTTTGACTTCGATTAACATTATTGCCTTAGTTACTAAAAATAAAATTTCTGTTAAATACTCTCAAAATGCTACTCCAAATACAGTTTTAGTTTGATTATAATATAATGTGGCATGCAAGTAGTCTACACTAAGAATATAAAGAGACTTATAATCAAGGATCATTATTCTATTTATTGCTGTTGTAAAGTTTCAATGCCCAACTGCTTAAGTACTTTTCTCTTCCTTTGCTATAAGCACAAACCAGTAGAGCTTCAGTCTCGACAGTGACTTCTGGTTTTAACACGGTTTTAATTAATAACGAGAACAATAATAGAAGTCATTTATGTTTGTGTGAGTTATCTCTCTTATACATGTATAGAAAAGGATCGATGAACCTTACCAGTGTTAATCTAAATTAAAATAGTTCATTACTTTATTGAAACAGTTTTCATATTATTACATACATGTATCATTAGCGGTATAAGTAATTTTTTGCGAATGTAAATAAATTCTTGTGTGATTTTACCTATTAAGCATACATGTAGGTTTCATTAGTCTTCATTTATACAAAGCATTACTATATCATTGATATGTTTGCTCATGGTTGATGAAACGAATTTTATGGATCAAAATTATTTCGAGCATGAAATGATAAATACAGCCATAGCTAGATATGCATAAAATTTAATTAAACTATATACATCAATGTCAAATAAATTTTTTTCATGTATATATTTACAGTCTTCTTAATAAGTCACAGGAATCTTAACGATGATCTTTTAGTTTATTCTTAACTCAAAAGAAACTCTGTATGTGTAAAAATTCGTTCAATTCTTTGAAGAATTAAAGAATTGCGAGATATCACAACTTCCAATGGCTTACTTCGCGGGAAGTTAGTCGTAAAACCATTTGCGAAGTAATCTAAACTTTGCAGGCGACACCCCAATCCAACGGCTTCTGTCTGTTTCATGATGTGGCCAGAATTCATCTTCTGACGAACCCTCGTCATATTCTAAATCTGTTTCTGATAAAGAATTCTCGGAATCATCACTAATTTCAAAAGTGTTCGAATTTTTCTGTTGTTCGCGAGAAGCAAGTGAGTTATTTGCATCAATGTTCTCCACATATACCTGTTGGATTAATCTGTTGTCTTTGTCCATGGTCATTGTTTTAGAAAACCTTTCATCTATTACGTCGTTAGTTTCCTCACTGCCATATCCTTCCTGACATGCTTTATTTCCGTTTGAATCCATTTCATGAACACTGAAACAAACGTGATCGTCTGTATTTCTCAGTTCCGGAGAATTTTGCCGCGAGTTTTTGCAACCGACGTGTACACCCATTTCTTTTGTCATTTCATAATCATTGAAACATATTTGATCGTCTGCTTCTCTCAATTCAACAGAATTTTTTCGTGAGTTCTTGCAACTTACCTGCACACCCGTTTCTTTCGTCTCGGCGAAATCGAAATCATTGCCGACACCCACATCACAGACATGTATTCCATTAGCATTCACTTTCCTGGGAGTACATCCGTCCTTCAATTTCGGCATGTCAGGAAACACAGGGGACGTTATGTATGGAATATCATGATCCACCAAGTCTAAATCTAACCCAAGATCGCTATCATCCGAAAAATCCGAATCGCTGAAATCAGTTTCGTCTTCCTCTAACTTCACTTCACTCATGGTAATTCTGGATCCTCTGAAATCTTTTTAAGAAATGTACTACGTGTACTGGAATAAGACTTTTCCTTTCGCACTGTTTTTATTTT